GTTTGATGTGTACCTGTATCCAATGAATAGGATTCTCAACAAATTAGGTATAAATTAGTTATTTGATAAGGTCCAACATGATCAATTTCTAATAATTTACATATGTAAAGTAAAATTTACGCACGTTATATATAGTGCAAACTTTACTCTGAATAGAGTGCAGTACTAATTCATTGGTTGTTTATACAGAAGTGATTTTATAAATTATTATTTTTAGTTTTTCTTACAAAAAGTTATTTGTGTTAATTTGACGATTGAGGACAGCGTTCAGTCAGTTAGGGTTTCGGCACTCAATTAGTTATACAAAATCGTTGCTATTATTTAATATAATTATATTTTTAAATTAGTTGAACCGCTGGTAAAGCAAAGCGAACAATGAGTCAATTCGGCCCCAATTGCCATAAGTTTGGCCAAAGGTATAGTCCATTCTCGTCGGCGTCACACAAAAGCAAATCAAATCTTCATCTCAAAGAACCCAGAAGTGGAAGAATCGCCAGAAATTACAAACACTGGTCAACAAATGATCACCACATGTCTGTCGAGAACCCATTGATAACAACGATGACCGACAATCCGACAGATAATCCGACCGAAGATCTCAATACTATCCCAGAGATGGTGGAGAAGAGTGTGACTCAGGACCCGATGTTTACGAAGATTGTGAACGCCTTCGAGAAGACGTTGGGAAAGTCTAATCTGATTGTTAATGAAATGGATATAAAAGTACTTCATATGAATGACGGCGAAAGCGTTCGCCAGAAATACCGGACCTTTGAGGCAGATGTGGCCGACTTCTGCAAAGAGTTGGATCTGTTGGCACTTTTACCGCACGAGCAGATGGAAGACAACACGAAGAACTGGTTGGACGCGATGGCTTTGCGCAGCTGTTGGTGGTATGATATGACGGCTTGGAGTCCAAACTCGGACATGTCTGTGATCCGCGTCAGCGAGATCTACGGCTTGCGGGCCAACGGACACAAAGACCTGAAGAGGTTTCTAGAAGTGGCCGCAACTCTGGCCGAAATGCAGCTAAACCTATACGAGATATCGCTGATTGTGACCTACTCTCTGGTGATGGGCGTCCACTCATTCATTGTCGACGAGAACGGGGAGCCGTCGGCCACGGCTGACCTCAGGGAAGAAGTACTCAGGCTTTTGTGTGACTACGAGAAGGAGTTTTACGGACACAAACAGTTACGATACTCTCATATATTGAACAATGTCTCAAAATTACACAAAATTGTTTCATTGTTTTAGACTTTTACTAAAAATTATTTACTTTCAAATTGTTTTAACCATTTTTTGATTCAATATATACTTAATAATTATTGGCGATTCATGTCTAGACTCTGTTCTAGCATTAAATTAATGTAAAATATTACTAATAATAAGAACCAGTAATAATTTATTAATAATACTTTTAATATATAAACTTATAGAAACTAATTGTTAGTTCACTAAATGTGATTAAATTTTCAATAAGAAATACTTGTATAAAACTTATAAGATTTAAATTACTATATAAAGTGATGATATATTAAACATTAAAACACTTTCAAGCATTAGTAAAAGTTATTTGCAATTGATTTTTGTTGAACAAAACAAGTGAAATATATTATTCTTTACAAAACATCTGCCATTAAGTGATAATTAGGCACAGATTTCAAGTTCAATAGACTCTTAACTATATCTACAATCAGTTTATTATTTAATGCATTTGAGTGTTGAATATGTGATCCGCACCTGAAATACATAAAGACTATACGAATGCTAATTAAGAGCCGGTATTGCCTATCGTTGGCAATGGATTCGCTTCCATAACCACACAAATAGCTTTCAATCGTCTCTTGTTTTTTATAGACGAGACAAACATTTGAATCCCAGAAAAACGTGTTTGACTTCCATTGGCTGATGGATTCACTACTGAACCAAATATTTTATAAAACATAAAACACATTTTGATATCAATTTAGATATCATTTAAACATCAAACCCATTATCCTCTCACTCTCAACACAACAAATATTTTACACCAAAAAAGTTTTTGGGATAAAACTCATGTGTTTTTCCATACAAACAAAGTGAGTGAGATTTGAACAGTGTGATTTATTTTTTAAAAAGTGTGCTTGTATAGTTAAAAACACAGACAATTCACTGCAATGATGCATAAAATTCTTCAGCTAGTTTTGTTTAGTTACTTAACCAGTGTCTCAATACAAGTCACTGTAACCGTAAAGTCCACAAAATTTATGGGATCTATGAATACAGTGGATGGGAAGCAA